CACGTCAAAAGAGTATCCCGTCACGCACGGTTTTATCTGAGTAGGCTCAACAGTATGTTGGGCCGACACAGTAAAATGTCCCTTCGAAACAAGCGTACCCTCTACAAGGTATGTATACGACCAGTCATGTCCTACGCGGGCCCCGTCTTTGCCCACGCAAACCCTAACATTTTAAATGAACTCCCAAATAGTTCAGAACCTCTTCTGTCGTCGAGCTGCGAACGCACCGTGGTACGTTCGTAATGCCGACCTTCATCGGGACTTAGAGCTCCCAACAATTCAACAATTTCTTAAAAAACTCTCTGAGAACTTCTTCAAAGCCTCAGAGTCGCACCCAAACCAATTAATTCGTGAGGCAGCTTCTTATGCAGCCCCACCCCCCTCTCGCTGTCGTGTCCGCAGGCCGAGAAACTCTCTCTCGGACCCGCCTAATAAACTTTCAAACGACCTGAACTGTCTCCTGGCGGCTCAGGCCAACTCTAATTAAATAAAATTATTGTAATATCTAACATTAATTTGCCTTCGTAGGCACTCCCTCAGCGGCACTTAGCCGCCTGCGCCCTCTTTTCCCAAAAGAGGGTCGCTCATGATAAGGCACAATAGAGCTTAATCAGCCGGTTGCCTGTCCCCAAAGGCGGTTTTTAGAGGGTATCACTTAGGGTCCCCGGTAGGACAGTGAGCCCCTCATAACCACGATAGACCGGCTATCGTGGTATGCGTAATGCATTTTCCGCCTCCCTACGTATAGGGTAGCCCTTTAATTGCTTCGGGCGCAAAAAAAAAAATTCCGTTAAAGCAGTCATGGCTCTGGCATGGCACGGTTCACTTGTTGTATCCCGCTACTAGCTCATTCTAGACTATTCGGATAATTAATTCGTAGAAACAAATTAATTATTATTATCAGCTAAATTAGTCTCAGTATTTATAGTTGATTACCTGTAATCCGTGTATTTTGTGATTGTAAATTAATTATATTTAACTACCTTCCTACATACACATTTGCATTATTTTCCACTGTGTGGTGGATACAATAAAGTTTTTGTACAAGCCCAAATATGCTAAAGCTGCTTCTGGACAAGAGCCAGTTCATACATGACGGCAATATTAGATGAGTTGTCTAAGATTGTCCGCGACATTTTTACACATCTAAACCGTCAGCTTCTAGTTTCTCTAGAATTCGCTGTATAATTTATTCTCCAGTCTTTCCATCACCTTCCGTTAATTTTATAAATTGAATCATCTGGTTCATTTGTTCCGTGTGAGATACATCTGGAGCGCAGTCAAACATGATGGTGAAGTTTATTGGCTTTCTTGATGTAATTGATAATGGTATTTCTATCATTGTTTACCATTATACCGATAATTTTATTTTGTATCTTTTTCGACAAACAGCATACCTCTCCTTTTTTACGTGGTCTAAGTAGATGGTATTTGAAAGTAGGATCATAATCATTTAAGATCTCCGCCATTAGATGTTGCTAATACATAATCTGCTGTGCTGCTGGCAGCACATTTCGGTATGAACCCTTAGGATGTGTTCAAAAACCAACTGGGCGTTTTAACATCAAGTGAATAGGATTAGACGCTTCGTGGAGCAAGTTCTTTTTAAATTGATATTATAACTTTGGCGCCCCCAGATACTGCCGCCCGGGGTGGAAGCCCCGGTTTACCCCCCCCCCATTAGATCCGGAGCAGAGAACCAGAGCAACCGACATAGCTCCACGGATTAGTAAACTGAAGTCAATGGGCGATATAGCTCGAAGAAACGACAACCGATGGGGAAGAAAGGTCCTCGAGCGGCAGCCTCGTACCGGCAGGCAAAGCATAGGGCGTCCCCGCACTAGTCGGAGTGACGACCTGGTAAGACATGCAGGAAGTCGATGGATGCAGTGGCTCGGGACCGTGCTTTGTGGAATTCCTTGGGCCTATGTCAGCAGTGATTGTTTTGTTTGATTGAATAACTGAGTACTCGCTGCCGCTTGTTGATTCGTTTGCGTCAGTTCGCCGGCGCAGTGCCGGCCAGCCGGGCGCCGGGTGGTTGTCGCTAGCACTTTAGCAGTATTCGACTTTATCTCGCCTACTCTCTTATGCACCCTTGCGGTTCCGCTTGGCACGTAATATTGCGGGCGCAGTTTGGAGTTAATTTTATTGAAAAAACCTTGGCACTTGCGGCCGCCCCCTTTCGTAGCCCCCCCCCTCTATGCCACTGCTAGTACATTTGGGTACTAACTACTGTACGGCACAGATGGTCATAATTTTTTTAAGAATCTTTGCACACTCGCCTTTTATGACATCCACCGAACTTATACTCGACTCCACCAAGTCAGTAATTCATTCTTGGGGCGATGTATACGCTTTTACAACAAAATCCCAGAATATATATAAAATTTGTCATACACAAAGTTCAAAAATGTTATTAAACTAAGTTTGTATAAAAAGGGTTATTATAACATTAAGGAATTTATGGATGATAATAACCCCTGGGGAGGGTGATCACTACCAAACTATTTCTAATTTGTCTTGTGTTGTTAATTGTAAACATGATTGTAATGTGGTTTCTTGCTGGTTCTTCCCAGGACAGAGGTTTTTTTTTGCGAACCAGTGGTAAATGAAAAAAGTGACTTTCAATGAGTATTGTTATAATCTACATTGAATAAAAAAGTTTCTGTTTCTATTGGGTGATACATTTTCTAAGTTTCTTAAGCCACCACCACACAGCGACAATTCAAAAGTAGAAATATTGTTATTACTTTTATTTAATAAAAATAATTGTTTCTTTTATAAAGCCACGAGTGCACTATATCGAGCCGAACCTAAGGCTTCAACTTAAACACAACAAAAGAAAAACAAAAAATTTACATTTTTATTTCTCCGAGATCACAAATCATTTTAATGAGGTAAGAATTAATTAAAACACAGACCTCGTAGAGAACTAAGAAGACTTTTGAACCCTTAATGATTAACAAACTTAAGGCTTTATAAACTAAGCTCTTTAAAAAAAATCTTACAGGACATCAAGATTGTGTTTGCTGATTTTTTTTTTGTTATTCTAAGCCAGTGGCAGCCAGTGCTATGGTATTATGCGGTATTATGGTTCATAAAAAGATAGCTTGATCTCTGCGACAGCTGTCAGTAAAAATCACGCCTATGAAGTCCTGAATTTCTTAGTAGTACAGACAGTACCTGTCAATGTCATACTTTATGGGCATGCCGACCTAATAAGTGCATGCCCACAAAGTATGACATTGACAGGTACTGTCTGTACTACTAAGAAATTCAGGACTCTATAGGCGTGATTTTTACTGACAGCTGTCGCAGAGATCAAGCTATCTTTTATGAACTATAGGGTTCTCTGTCTACATATGGTATAGTATACCACATATAATTTTTTTATTAATATTTATAGTTTGGATGCTTGTCTTTTAAGCTATCACCATGGCGAGGTAGCCGAAGAGGTTAAAGCACATTGACTAGAGAAAAGCTATTCAATTGCTGATAAATTCACATACAGTTTATTCTACTGGTCACATACATCATACATTGAGAATTATATTTAATTTTCAGAGAAATTACAGTAAAATATCTCAGATAGATTTTTGAAGTGAAACTTCTTTATCGATGTAGTGGTGAAATTTAGTACGGCATTAAAAAAACATCGACAAGGCGGTGTGAGTAATAAAATAAAAGAATGATATGTCGTAAAAAAGTTTCACCTCGTACATGTGTACACAATTACTCGCTTTTAAATTTTTATTTTGCACATCCGACATAGCCCAATTGAAGTTATCAATAAAGACCAGTATTCAGACGATACGCAGTGGGCAAACACGCCCTTAACGTAAGGTAGAAAAAGCGTTGCAAGTGTTAAACTCCACACATATGAACAATGAACAAGAACTTAAGAAAGTTCAAATAAGCAAAGTTCTATTTACTTAAGTCTTGCAAGATAAAAAAATTATACACTGGTAGTACTTGCGCAAACTACAGCGTATTGTCTGAAATGGCCATTATTGTATGCAAAATGTGGAGATTTTGACAGCAAATATCAAATTTGCAATGTTCTGCAAACCTTCGAGATCACTGTGGCACCACTGCTTGGGGACTTCTTTGGTGAAAAAGAATTTTCCTAAACCATGTTTAATCAGAGATTCTATAAAAACGTTTCCGTAATAACACCCCCTAAGTCTACATCTTCAGAACAATAAAAACAAACAATAAAAAAAATACATAAAAATGAAATAATTAAAAATACAATATACAAGTTAAATTATTTACAAAATAAATGCATAATAATATCTTAGATTGGCAGTAACAGTGGCATCCTACGACAATGTTTTTGTATTTTTTTAAACTGTACAATTTTTAGTATGCATGTTAAAGTTGTGATATTAAGAAATTCATAGAAAAGAAGTGTATTATTATTATATCAAATACGGAGATAGCATTTTCTGAAAAAACATTATTTAATCTAATAGTAAGTTATATGATTACAGCCTTTTTTATATGGAAAACCTACTTTAAGAAGCCAAGTCTATACATGTTTAACAATAGTATTATGCTATTTTATATTTTAAGATTAAAGACAGTTACGTAGTTATTTTTTTAAACTTTAATGTCGTAGACTTCAAGGCATTCTTTCAATGACAATTCAAGTAATTTACAATTATAAGAATTTTTGGCTAAGGTAATTTTAATTAATTGCTTAAGTTTGCTAATAATAGCATATCAACATAAATTACAAATATGTTACTGGAAATTTACACTTTTTAGACACTGCATTGGACAATTGTTTGACACCCAACAATTTACAACAATCATTACAATTCTTTTAATTGTTATTTAATTTACAGATTCACTAATTTACAACACATTTTTATACATCACTTGAGCGATTTTGTTTAAGTGTCACTATTTTTTGTTCACATTTTATAATCAAAGTCATCAACTGAGCAACACCAAACACTTAACACAAAATTTGTAATTTAAAATTCAAGCCTATATCATGAGCTTGTTGCCACGGCTTTATAAAGTCTTAACCTAGATTCGGACAACGCAGCTACAACAGTGTCACCGTTCAACTGTACCGAACACACATCTAATGCTGGTTCTGCAGCCGGTAACGACATAGTCCTGGCACCATCCAATCCATGTAGAAACAATGTTGAATCACTTTCAGAATGCGCTGCCACCCAGGAAGCACCTGGCGCCCTGACCCAAGACGCTCGAGACATTAATGTGGACCTTGCAGACCCGGCGAAGCTCTGCTCAGTTTCAAACAAAACTTCTCCACTCGGAACACTTGCCTTCAGCTTACACAGCGTCAGCCTGGACCTCTCTGATCCATTTGGTCCTGGTCTACAAGAAACTAATGCTCGGTGTGACTCACTGTCGTAGCACAGGGACATGAAGGGCCCATCTATTGGTAGGGCTCTTGGCTCCCACTGCCTCATGTTAGCCACCCATAGCCAGCAAGAATTCAACTGGCACGACAGCAGACCGAATTCTGTCGAACATAATGATACAACTGGTGACATGTCTCCAGCAGCTGACAGTCTTTGAATGTACGTGTTATGGTTGCGTACGTCATACTGATGAATTACTCCTCCAACACCGCCTACGTAAAACTCATTGCTGCGTAAATAATCCCATGAACAAGACCATAAGGGCATTCCACATTGGATTGTAGCGCTCGGGGTTCCCCTTTTCAACTATTCTCGCAGAGCTATCTAACGCAACACTAAGCAACAAGTCCCTCGGCTGTGAGTAGGTTATATCACGTATTGGTTTGGGATGTAAGTGAACAAACTGTCCTAATTTGTAATCAACACAACTCACTTTCCGTATTCCATAACCTGGAAACAGATAGTTTACACTTTTCTGTGACACATACAACTCATAAGTACGACAATTGTAGGTTAAAACACGACAGCCTCCGTCTTTGCAAATCTCCAAGTTTTTTTCCAGCGCAAACCTCCACGTTTTCCTCACAGGCTGTTCCTTCGCAACTTGAGACTTCATCAACGTACTCCTTAATACTTCCAGCTGTAAAGCGCAAGCTCGGTGTGCTATCCTACACTTCTGAAGCTCCAATTCCGCTCTGTTCTTTTCTGTTTGGAGTAACTCCACTTGCTTCTGCAGCGCTGTAATCTGTGAAGAGTCTGCTGCTACCAAACGTCGAGCGTAAATAAACCTGATGTCTTTTAGAGCTGCCTTACTTTTACAGGTTGGACACGAGCGTTCACGTAACGTCTGTGCCTTAAGCCATCGTTGAACACATTGTGCTCCAAACAAGTGTCCACACTTTAACGCAACCAGTCTATGTTCCCCGGAATTGCCCCAAGAATCTAAGCAGATGGGACAAGTCTCTCCGTCCATGTCGTCGTTTGGTTTCGGCGAGCTCAGTTTACGGACTTTTGCGGGCGGTTCTTCAAGGTCTTCGTCTTTTCGTATCACGACCTCTGGCATGGACATCAAGCTGTTCGATTCCTCAGTGGTGGAGTGTACGGCTGCTATATCTGACTGCGAACTTTGCGGTCGTATCGAATTTGAGTTGTCATCGTTTAGATCAATATTGTCAGTTCTTCGCCACGCGTGTGACGTACTGTTACGGTTTTCCTCATCATAGTTCACAGTTGCCGCAGAGTCATTACTGTTGTCATTAATAGCAGGACTCTGTGCTACCGCGTCTGGTTGCGTGAAGGTGTCAGAGTCTCGCTCGGGCTGCTCGTGCCATGGCTGTGGGCTGCTAGGTGATGGTGAGTCAAGCAAGTTAGGGCTGCCGGGAGATTCGGGAATCAACATACTGGAGCTCGCTTGGCTAGACGAGTGCGGTGGGGTGGTGCTGCGATAATCCATCGTGACGGGAGATCTGAAAAAAAAAAGCGAAATTTTACTCTGGATTGTGAAATATTGCAATTTTATTGAATCTAGTAACTGACATAGCGTAACGGATCAGTAAACTGATGTAAAGGGTCGGTAATATACCTTGAAGAACCGCCAACTGATAAAGATGGAAGGTACACCGGTAAGTAAAATGTAGAAGAACAGCCTTCTACTAGATGCAGTGACGACGACGATAAAGGTGGGTTAGGACTGTGCTTTGAGGGCTCCTTAGACGAAGCCTGTGCTCAACGGTCTGATAAATGGTTGTTTTACTAAAGACCTAAACTTTGATTAGTGGACACTACAGTCACCAACTGTAAATCAATTTGTCCATCATCATTATGCATCTCTGCGTATTCTATCGTATTTACCACGGGGAATGCTCAGAGTTATCAGAAGAGTGCTCAGAGAAATTATTCGGACTAATTCCAGCCGCTTAATTTCACCATCGCACATCGCGACAGAACTCGAGATACCATCTTTATCACTTGGACTAAACTCACTACTGTGCGATTTACAAGAAGTTTTCTTCCTTCCACAACTTCCTTGTGGAATTGACTAACACCAGCAATTTTTCCGGACCGATATTTTTTAAGCCTTTGACTGCACTTAGTACGGAGTATTGCATTTAAAACGTGACCCGACGGCAGAGAATGTGAAATTAACAATGCTATAAACATTACTATTATTCCCCTTAACCACTCGTGGTAAGCTTAAATTGCTTGTGTTACGAGTGATTCCCGCCAGTAGTCGAAGTGGGGATTCGAACCCACGACCTTTTTGAGATCGCGGTCCGCGCCCTGCCATTAGGCTACTGTCGCTTTTAATGATATGACTTATGAATTTTCAAGAGCTTACACTTTTTTAAAAGGCCGGCAACACATCTGCCATTCCCCTGGTGTTGCAGTTGTTCTCATGGAAGGCGATAGTCACCATCAGGTGAGCCGTGTGCTCGTTTGTCGCCTCTCTTATAAAAAAAATCTTGTTGTGCTCAGTAGGTTCGGTCGTTCCAACACTTTACAAAGAGCAGGTTTGGCCTCATATAAAATACTGTTCTCATCTCTGGGCTCGGGCACCCCAGTATCAGCTCCTTCCACTAGATCGCATTCAACGGCGAGCGGCCCCAATCGCCAACGACCAAGTTCTTTCCGATTGGCGCATCAAGGCTTGCGAAGAGACGGTGCATATCTTTGCATCTTCACAGTGAGTGCTCATAGGATTTGTTCTGGTCATTTCCAACTGCTGAGTTCCATTGTACACTGCGACAAAACTCGAAATTCCAACTAAATCATCTCAATGTTTGGCGGTGAATTACCATGCAATTAAAGCAGAATTTTCTGACTTGCACGAACATCTTGTGGAATTTAAACACGCCTATACGACTTAGAGACCTTCAAGTAAAGAACCTTTCTAAAAAGACGGCAATGATCTTGTTATACCCTTGGTGTTGCAGTTGCAACATCTTTTCGTAGCACCAAGGAATCAAGCCGAAAAAGAACTCGGTCAAGTGGAAGGAGTTGTCACTAGGGAGCCACAGCTCAAAGATGGGAACAGTATTCCATGTGAGGCCAAACCTGCGCCTTGTAAAGTTGCAGGCGGTGAGCGGACATGAAATACTGTCCCGCTCTGCTGCGCACGCCAATCTTTTTAGAGGTTTAGCCTTTTCTTCCAAGTGACCACGAAACTGCGCATGTTTCGATATGTCATTTTGGTCACGGTGGCCAGTTTTAACGAATACTAGCCATCTGGCAGGGCCAAATTATAATGCTAGAGTATGTTGCAGTCACAGATACACTCTTATGTTTGAACACTATTTGTACGATGGGAGGGATGGCAATCTGACGCAACAGGAGAGAGACTAGGTGCAGGACTATCAAATTCAAGTGCTTTCCGAGGTATGGGGGTGATTCACCACCAACTTCCTGATTCCAGGCCGCTAATGAGATTTTCTTGACTAAAAACTCAATAACTGTTTTTATGCCCGACCAATCTCGAGATTGTATGTCCGTGTCATACAATCCCGAGATTGTATGACACAGACATACTCGGGACCGTATCGGGCAAAAAATCCTCATGATCAGCATTTACAACTAACCAATGAGTCAGTCATTTGTCATTTATAATGCCTTCATTGTTTTTTATAGAATTAAGCTGACAAACGAGGCCACAGTCCACCTGATGGTAAGTGGATGTTGTAGCCCATAGACAACCACATCTATCCTCAATTAAGAATCAAAATGCAGTTGCATTATTACCTCTGAGGAATATGATGAAATGCTTTGTTTCCAGTAAAAATGGTCTCCGGTTCTCTACACTCACCATACTGCTGTGTTTCTACAGCAGCATTAAGCCACAATGTATGCTGGTATTCTGTGAGTGTGGTTCTACCCTGGTCAAGTTAATTCATTCATGCTACAACCATGATACAGCTGCAGCTTGGCTCTACCACGTGAAATAAACAGAACAGAAACAGGTTAGGAAAGTAACTGAATCTGAATGACAGGGTGAGAAATTGTGTGATAAGAGAAGAGTGTGGTTTGCAAGATGATGTTGTGACCAGGATTAAGAAAGGAATGCTTCGGTAGTTTGGTCATGTGGAAAGAATGAATGAGGAAAGAGTGACAAAGAAAATTTGTGTTGCAGAAGTAAATGTAAATGGCAGTCGGAAAGGGAAGTGCCAGTTGTCACTTAACAAAGGCCTTTTGTGTTTGGGCATACGCCATGTTCAAACAACAATACTTCTTAAAGTAATAAAGATACAGCTGTAAACTTTATGTTGTATTGTAGCTTAACTCAAAATCTGTCTATATAGTATATATAGTAAATATAGTATATAGTAAATATATATAAAAAAGTATTGAGGTTTTGAGTTATGTTAATAGGACAGTTAAAATTCTACTGAGGGATGACATAATATTTAAACAAAAGACAAGAAAACATTTATAAAAGTATGGGTGTCTACTGCTTTGTGGCATTCCTTGGAGGAGAACAAGTTCAGAAGTGGACTTAAACATGGACAGTAAAAGCCTGTCAAACGGCAAGCGTCCAAATTTGACCGCTTCGATATTCTGTTAAAATTCAAGAGGTCAAATGTGACCGCACCCACCCACAGCACTAACCCATAAGTACTTAAGTTTAGGGACTAATTTTCTATAAAGAAGTGTGGCATTATAGAATCAATATGAAATTTTCTATCCTCTAGTGGAATAAAAAGTCACTCAGTCTATGGATATTTATTTATAATCTACGTTCATTTCATACGCCATTTTCGTGTGAATGTTATTATGTTGATTTTTGGATTTTTCTAGTGTTTTAAGCCAAAAACCGGGGCTTGAGATACTGTCAAGTACTTTTTTTCTGCATCGAAAATTGATCCGTAATATCATATATATAAGGGGTGCAATTGCAATCATATATTATGCTAAAATAAAAAACTTTTAAGCCTTATTGGAAGAAAAATACTGGCATAGAACATTGATCTGTAACTGTATACAAATAAAAAGCACAATCGCATTTACAAAAAAAACTTCCAAACCTTTAAAAGTTCCAACTTTCAAGCCTTGTTGGAAGAAAAATACTTGCATAGAACATTGATCTGTAACTACATACAAATAAAGATCACAATCGCGTTTACAAAAAAAAATACTTCCGATCCCTTAAATATAACTTGACAGAACATTGATCCGTAACAGAATATATATAAGGAGCAGAAACACTTGAGTGTCGACAGAGTGAGAATATTCAAATACTTTGAAGTCTTGCAAGTATTTTGGGTCGGCACTTGGTCGGTGTACTTGCAAGTAAATATGTGGTCGCGTAAATATGCACCCTCCCTATGCGAGAGTGGAGCTCCAACAGCCTTGGTGGACGCTCACTACCAATGGAAGTGTTTGTTTCTAGTGTAAAACCATTAGTTTTGATAAAGCTATTTTGAAGTAAATTATCTTTTGTTTGAGTGCCCACATTTACATAGGACTATGTTGGATCATGAAGAAGATCCGTTGTTTTGCATCTTGGCCGCCCGTACCACCACATATATAAGCAAAATACCACTGACTGACTCATCATGAGATCTTTAAAACTACAGACCCAACTGACTTGAAATTTTGTATAATTACTCATTTTGCAATGTAGCGAAGAATAGATTCTACAATAGTAATATCAAAAAAAAAATCTTTATATTTTACATCTAGGTTCCGCAATAAAATATTATCATGCACCCAGCAAAGCAAGCGAGTGTCAGCTAGTCTAATATATTCAATCCTTTTTTTATTTAATGCAAATACAGCGTTTGTTTTTCTTATCATGGTTTATGCCAAAGTGCTTCTTTCTTTTTATTTATTAACTCCCGACACATACAGATGGATGTTATATGTTTAACATATGTATCTGTGTTTATCTATGGCATTGTGGCTACCAAACAGATAAACCGGTTTAGATTTAGTTTTTGTTTAAATTTGAAAGTGGCTTGATCGAGTGTTCTTAGCTCAAAGTCAAGAAAATATTTTTAGTGTTTTTCGGGGGTTTTCAAAAATTTTCAATTTAAATTATTCATCTGATACAATCGAACGACTGAGTAGGCATAAGGAAAAATATTGTTTGCACAAAAAGTTTTAGACATTAAATTACACTTGCTATTAGTTAGATATACACTTTAATATTTACTCACATAAAATTGAAAGGATACAAAAGAGATTTCTTTTGCATTTATCTTACGATCATAACCTAGTTAAAACTCTTAGAACTTACGAAGATAAGCTAAATTACTTTAAGCTTCAGCCACTTTCGAATCGAAGACAGCTCCTTGACCTTATTTTCTTGTATAAGTTGGTGAATGGCGTCATTGATATTTCTTACTTACTAGCCAAATTAAATTTTCGTACCGCATTGAAGTCAAAAAGGCCGTCGTCTTATATACCATTCGTAGAAAAGAGCACACGTTCTCGTCAAGCGCGCTATTCTCCGATTAATAGACTGATGTTGAGT